TTATTCTTAAAATAAATGGATCCCTTCTCATGTAATATTGTATAATAATTATTATTGCTTTATTATATCTTGTAAACTATAAAGAGAAATTATAAATTACTTAATATTTAAGCATTTTTTTTTATTTCTCTGTTATGTTTTACATTATTTATTACTAGAGTAAAAATGTAATTTGTGCCTATGTGCATTTTATGTAAAAAAAGTAAAACAAATAATAAAAATAATTAATACTAAAGATGTGTAAGTAGTTAATAATTAGAAGATGTGAGTATTTCTAAATAATTATTTTAAAGGTGTGAGTTATTTGAAAAATAAATTTACAAAAAATTAAAGAGAAAAAATAAAAATTATGAGAAGAGAGATTTTTATAAGTTTGATCAACAAAATATTTACATAAAAAAATGTATCCTTTTTTTATTATTATTTTTTTACACTAAAACGTATCGCCTTAATTAAAACTTTATAATATATATAAATTTATGTATACGTTTTATTAACCTTTCCCCTTTGCAGTTGTTGAATAGATTTTTACTAAAAGTTTTTTCATATGGAAAATATTTCTTGGTTTCTAAACAGTCCAAACGCTTATATAAAAGAAATAGAATAAAAGAGAGGAATGATAGATGTAATTGGTATGTTATGTGATAAGAGGAGAGAAATACAAGAAATGAAGTGTTTAAAGTATTTGAGTGTCTAAATATTATTGTTCTCTCTATATTAGTGTGTATGTAGAGATACTAATAACATTCTTTCTAACATTTTAGATCATCACGTCATAAAATGATTTGGATAAATAATTTATTTTAAATTTTATTTAAAAAATTTTATGTAATAAAAAATTATTTTATATGTATTTAAAATTTAATAACTTGTTCCATTTTGAATATAGATATTAATAAATATTTATATAATTTTAAGGTATTTAGATTGTGATAATTAATTTAAGTATTTATAAGATGTTATATCATTTTAAAAATTAAAAATTATAAAATTAAATTTTGATTAAAAATAAAAATAAAATATATAAATTAACTAAATATTTATAAGAAATGAAATTATACATCACAATAATATTAAAAATAAAAAATTATTGATCATTATTCACCTATTTTTAGTTTATAAATATAAAATTAATGATAGAATATGAGAAAACAATTATATAAACATAACCATGATTAAAAGTTAAGAACCATAGATTTTCAATTCTATATATTTTATAAAATTATGATTATAAAAATATTGTTTAAATATCAACAAAAAATTATTCCAAATGTGTTATTTTAGAGAAAAAAACAAGTTACAAGTTTTTTTTTTAATAATAGGGAAATGTAAATTCTGGGGAAAGAGAGAGAAATTTTTTTGGAGGAAAAGAGAACAAATTATAATAATGAGAAACAAAAACTTTTAATGGAAAAAACAAATTTTTTGGAGAGAGTAATAAAAAAAAATAAAATTAGTTTATAGTAAAATAATAAAATAAAATAAAATAAAACTATTTATGTTGGTAACAAAATTTAAATTTGGATATTTTTTTCACAAGTTTTCACATAAGTTATAAATTATACTAGATAACTTATCTATACTAATATATAAAAGGGATATCTTTTTTAGTAACTGCCTTGATCTTTGCATTTTTTTGACCATTATATCTTTCTATTTTAAAAAAATTAAAAAAATAATTTTTTTATCATATTTAAGAACTTGAAAACTAATAAATTAATCATAACACCAATCAGATTAATATACTTTTATTATTTAATTTTTATTTTAATTTTATTTTTAATTGAGGCATGAAGTGCCTCAACCCCACTAGCCAAAATAAGTTCAATACATCTTATAAGATGTTACTCATTTCATATTTTATAAGATTATATAAACTCTTTCATAAACACTTATAGAATAAGATAAATATAAATAAATTATTTATAGTTCTTTTAAATAGGGTCTTTATTTCATTGTAATATCTCCAATATTTTTCAAATAAACAACTTATTTTATTTCTTTATGTGAGTTCATGCCAACTCAATTTAATTTAACTTAATTTTACTTTAATGCAAGTTACAATCCAAAAATTACTTAATTCATAAATATGTTTTTTTTTCTATTTAATATTTCATATTCTCTCCCCTACATACACACATGTTAAGAACATCAACAATGTAAGTTACTATATATTTTATTTTACTTTATTAAGCCCATTCATGCCACCTCAATTTGAAACAATCCATTTAATTTAATTTCTCTCTAAGGTAAGTTCTTAAAAAAAATTGCTTAACTCATAAATGTGTTCTCTCTCTCTCTTTAATATCTCACATTTTTTTTCTCATACATCACACACGTGTTAAGAACATCCACAACGTAAGTTACTTAATTATATATTTTGTTTTACTTGAGTCGATTCATGCTTGCCACCTCAATTTGAAACAATTCATTTAATTTAATTTTTCTCTAATGCAAGAGTTCTTATAAAAATAAATTGCTTAAGTCATAAATTTATTCTCTCTCCTACATGCACATATATAAATATTACTAGAATTTTTTATATTACATACGACTTTTTCTGCGAAATTTTATCTACAAGTAATATTTTCGTAGATAATATATTTTTGCGAATTTTAAAATTTGCAAGAAATTTTTGTATGATATTTTAAATGCTCACAATAAATTTATCCGAAATATTAAATTTTCTTCCATATATCTAACATGTGATAAATAATCTTTTAAACTCAGATTGTAGATTATAGGTCTAATACTCAATCATACAAATTCATCTTGTAATGTAAGTGTTGCCCCAACTTATAAACTCTTTAATTATTTTATTTCCAATCAATGTGAGACTTAAAGTTTTCTTTAAATATTAATTAGATCATGTCTTCAGAAATAGGATTAATTCATTATATTGAACAACAAAATTATATTATTATAAATTATTTTAACTCTTAAAATATTTAATATTTTAAAAAATTAGTTTTTTTATTAAATAATTTTATTTTAAAAACTATCATTAAATTAAACCTCGTCATCATTAATTTATACATTTAATTAAAAATAAATATTTAATTTATTAATATTTTAAGTTAAAATTAATTTTTATGAAATATTTATGAATAATTTAGTAAAATAATATTTTATTAAGTATATACTTTTAATTTTAAAATTTTATAAATTATCATTAAATTAAAACTCATTATCATTAATTTATCATATTTATAAAATTTTTATATATTAAATTTAATTAAAATAAAAAAATTAATTATAATGATATATTTATAAATAATTTAGTAAATAAAAAATAATTATAATGATATATTTATAAATAATTTAGTAAAATAATATTTTTTAATTAAAAATCTTTTAATTATTAAACTTATAAATTTAATTTTTTTTTTTATTTTTCTTGCGGATTAAAATTGACAGTAAAGTCCGCATGAAAATTTACCTGTGAAATTTTTTTACCATTTAATAAATATTACTTGCAAATTTATTTTTACAAAAAAATCTGCAAGAAATAAAATAAAATTCTTAAAACATTTTCTAAAAATTTTTATCATAAAAAAAAAATTCTATGATCATTAAAATTGTAGTAAAATTTGTAAAAAAATTTGTAAATTATTTTTCATAAAAAACTTGTAAGAAATATTTGTAAATTATTTTTTACAAATAAATTCATAAATTCTTTTTGTGAAATCATTATTACAAAAAAATTCATAAAAAAATTCTGTATATAGTTTTGTTTAGAAAAATTCATAGAAAAATGACACTTTTCTAGTAGTAAAATGATAAAAGTATTCACAATATAAGTTGTTTAACTATATATCTTATTTTAATTTATTAATTTTTATGTTGTCACATCACATTTAATCAACTCGCATAATTTTTAATCTAATGGTAAAAATTTAAACAATCTTTATTAATTCCTTTTCTAAGTATGATTTATCAAAATTTGGTCATTTTATACCGATTCAATGTGTAAAAATAATCTTTTTCTTCTCAAGTTATCTTATCTTATATAAAATACAAAATTTATATTTAAGATAGCTGACATAAGTTGACTTTAATAGTTAAAAAAAAATAAAATAAGACAGAAGCATAATAAATATGTAACATACTAATTATATATTGATACTCAATAACACCTTACAAAGGAGTGTTACCTATACAAAGAACTCTCCCTATTTTAAACGGTCTAAAATTACACGTAACATATTAAAATAATATTTTATTATTAAACAAATCAAAAGTAACTCTTACGGAAAGATGTTTTTAGGCCAAATTTATTATCTTATTGAATGAATGTTTCTTATTAAAATTTATAATTTTTAATAAATTTTAGTTAAATATTCCAGAAAGTGTTGTTATGAATTTATTTATTTATATTTTTTATTTTATTTTTATGGAATGATACGAAAATGCCCATTTTCTAAATTTTCTTTGGAAAACTCTACGGTACCATCCGGTACCGGAAAGCATATTTTTTATTTATTTATTGTAATTACTTGTTTTATTTTTATTTTTATTTATTATTTTTAATAATTTATCTTTATAAAATTTTCTATATCTTTAAATTATTTTTATATTTTTAAATTTTATCTTAATGTAACATTTATTATAATTAAATAATTTAATACTATTTTGTTAATACATTTTAATTTTTTAGTGTTAATTTTTTTAATTTATAATATAAATTATTTTTTTAATTATATTTTTTTTCTTATTTTAATATTTTTATAATATTATTATATTTTTTGTTTTTAATTTTTTTAATTTTGTTACATATAAATAAAATTGTTATAAAAATTAAATTTTTGATTATTTTTTTTTGAATTAATCTTTTTGATTGATTTATCTTCTACAAATTTTTATCTAAAATTTATACTATTTTAAATTTATTTTTTAAAATTTATTTATTCACGTAATTTAAAGTACCAAAATCATTCGATTATCATGGTAGTACAGGAGTTTCTATTTTCTTTACTGTGTATATATACACAGTCTCGTGTGTTCCATCTCTTATGTATCAAACCTTGCCTTTCACCACACCCCATAAGACCATTTTTCTTCTCTCACACAATGTCTGTAGATGAAAGAGTGAATGTTCTAATGGTGACAATGGCCTTTCAGGGTCACATAAACCCCATGCTGAAGCTCGCCAAGCACCTTATCTCAAAGGGTGTTCACGTTACCATCGCCACCACCGAAGATGGCCGCTACCGCATGCTCAACACCGCCAACACAAACCCAAACAATTCCGACGTCAACTCCCAAATCAAACTCGCCTTCTTCTCCGACGGACTCACCCCCGAGTTCGACCGTTCCGACGGCGAGTCACTGGTCAACACCATCCGAGAAAAAGGTCCCAAAAACCTCTCTACTCTCATCACCGACCTCACCCAAGTTCATAACTATTCATGCGTTATTGTCAACCCCTTCGTACCTTGGGCCATCGATGTGATCGCTGAACATGGTATCCCTTGTGCGCTGCTTTGGATCCAAGCTTCTTCTGTATATTCCATCTATTACCGTTTCTTCAAGAACATAGACCAATTCCCAAATTTGGAGGACCCCAATGAGATAGTGCGCTTGCCAGGGCTACCACCGTTTGAGGTTAGAGACGTTCCTACTCTCATTCTTCCTTCAACCCCTTTTTACTTCAGGGAATTCACTAGGGAATTATACAACGCTTTGGATAAAGTGAAATGGGTTTTAGGTACTTCGTTTTATGAAATTGAGGAGGAGGTTGTGGATTCCTTGGCCTCCATAACCCCTTTTTACCCCATTGGACCTGTGGTGTCACCTTTTCTGTTGGGAGAGAAGGAAGAAAGTGATGTCAGTGTTGATATGTGGAGTGTTGAGGATTCCTGCATGGAGTGGCTTGATAATAAACCACCTTCCTCGGTTATCTATGTCTCTTTCGGTAGCATGCTTGTGACGTCACAAACACAGATGGATAACATAGCCACGGCGATGAGGAACAGCAACAAGTCGTTTCTGTGGGTGCTGAAGCCAGGTTCCAATAAGGACAACGTTGCTGAGTTTTCAAATGGTTTTTCGGAAGAAACCAAAGAGAGGGTTTTGGTGGTGAAGTGGTGCCCTCAGGAGAAGGTTCTGATGCATTCTTCTGTGGCTGGCTTTATAAGCCATTGTGGGTGGAACTCAACTCTTGAGGCTGTGGTTGCGGGTGTGCCTCTTATTGCTTGGCCTTCTTGGACGGATCAACCAACCACTGCTATGCTCATAGAGAACGTGTTTCGTAATGGGGTGAGGCTGCGTTGTGGGGAAGATGGGAATGCAAGCGCAGAAGACATTGAACGTTGCATTAGGTGTGTTACTGAAGGACCAAGTGCTGAAGAGATTAAGAAGAGAGCAAGGGAAATGAAGGAGGCAGCATGGAAAACTTTGCAGGATGGTGGCACCTCTAGTAAGAATATCAGCCAGTTTATCAGTGACTTGATTGCAGGGAAGCCAGATAGAGCTTGAATTTGATCGTTTACATGTTTACATCTCTTGCTCGCTAACTAGCTGCTGCATTATGCCCAATTTGTGTTTATCATTTCTTATAATTTCTTGGTGCAATTGTTAAAGTGAGTTTAGATCATTGTTTACATGTATTAATGGTGGTTTAATAATAACAATTTTCATATGTTTTCTATAAGTGACTTTTTTTTAATAAAAAATTGTTTGTATAAGTGATTTGGTAACTGTATTTTTTTAATTAAAGATTGATATTCAGTTCTTGATTTTAATATGCGGTATGAAATTGTAAATAAAAAAAATATTACTTTAACTTTATAAGAGTTAATTCATTATATAAAGTTATATCTTTTTATTAAAAAAATAAAAAAAAATGAGTCTTATTTTAAAGTTTAGTAAAGTAATGAGAATTGTTATTTTTAACGTTATTTGTTTCCTTTTTGGCCCTTTTCTTGAATTTTTATTTCTTTTGCACATATAATTAATAAAAGTAAAGATGCTTGTACAAAAAAAATAAAGTTATTTAAAGGCGTGTATTGGATTAAGATTTTAAAAGACTTTTTTAGTTAAAAAAAGTTTTGTGAACTTTAAAAGATTTTGTAGGATTTTCATGATTTTTAAGATTTTATAGGATTTTACAAGATTTTAAATAAGGATTTTAATAGATTCTGCAAAATTTTTAGTTAAGATTTTAATGGATTCTGCGGGATTTTGCAGACTTTACAAAATTTTGTTAATTTTTGACATATGATAAAAGTTTAAGATTTTTTTTTCATATATTCAAATTTAAAAAGAGTCAAGGATAATTTTTTAAAAAATTTTAATTGCTTTCAATTATTCACTCGCAAAAAAATATTTTTAGTATTAAATTCTAAGATATCACAATGTCTTATGTTAATTTCTTTTTTAAAAATATAAAAAAATCCTAATTTCACAATATAAAAATTAAAAAAATAAAATTCATAGTAAAAAAAAATAAAATAATTGTTGAGTCATAAAAGGAGGAAGAATAACGGTAATAAACTCAAGGAAGGAAGATAGATTGTTTTTGTGTTGAGAAGTTCTTCCCCTACTAAGATTCATTCTCATCTCATTCTACTCACAAGAATCCGAACTCAAATTCATCTTATATATATATATATATATATATATTTTAATAAATCTAAATTGATTACAAATTAAGTTTTGAAGATCTACAGTTGATTGTAGAGATCATGATATCAATTTCAGTTTTCACCTTTCACGCATGTTATAAAAAAATTACTACTTAAAAATTAAAATTTCAATCATTTTCTTTGTTATATATCTGAGGAATAAACTCAACTAAATAGATCCAAATAAAAGCAACTCAATTGAAGAGAATGAAGAGAAAAACAAAACAAGTCAATAATACTATCATTTACGTACTAGAGTTTCACCAAATAGGGGGAATAAAATAGAAACAGTAGTACAATATTATATATGAGTAGTAATACAATATTATTAGTAGAGAAAAAATGGAGAAGACAAAAGTATAAAAAAAAAACTCACTTGAAAATTCTTGAAGCACTTAAAAAGTCACTTCAAACAATTGTCCAAATTTTGATGGGTTTGGATAAGATTATTTTATGAATTTGGTATTTATAGATATTACTAAAAAGTCCTTCAAAATCCGTCTAATACTATAATCCTTTAAAATTCTTATATTTAATAGATTATTTTTAAGTTGTAAAAAATCTCAAATGAATATCAATAGATTTTAATTATCTTTTTAAAATTTTTTGAAAATCCTGATTAAATATCAAGAGATTTTTTTACTTAAAAAAAATCTTTTAAAATCCTATAAAATCCTAAATCAATACAACCTTCTAAATAAGTTTCACGTACTGTTTAACTAGACCTAAAATTGTTTGGTCAAATCTAGAAAACAAGTTGCAAAATATTGAAGAAAAATAATGGTAAAAGGGTTGGAAAAAATCAGAATGTTTAAAACTTAATTACAAGCTAGGATAAAAAGGTTTAATGTGAAGGTAGAAATTCGCACACAAACAAGCTTTAGTGACAAGCAAATGTAGTGACAAACTAGGAATAGCTAACGTTTCTTCATGCGACTCAATAGCCACTCCTGTGTCCTCTTGGGTCACTCAATAAAAGGCTACATTTCCTGTTTGTCTACAATCCATCAACCAACAAAACCATCATCATCATTTCACCAAAACCATGATTCTTAAAACGTTTTTTTTTTTCACCCTCAAAGATATTTAAATCGTGAGAGATAAAAAAAATATCTGTGATAAGAAAAAATAATGTCATATTTCTAAAGACTAAAGAGGTGTATGAGGACAATGATGTCAATCAAATTATTCATTTATCTTGTTTTAACTTGCAGTTAATTTATACGAGCGATTCTTTTTGGACACCCCTTAATATTAGTCAATAAATAAATATTTAATTACAAAATATGTTTCTTAATTTGCAGCTCACCATCTTACTAATTTTTTAAGATAAAAAGTAATTACTACAATTAATGTATCTTATAAATAATTAAAAATAAAATAATAAAATTATCATATTTAAATCTCATAAATAATTGATATAAATAATTGACTAAATAATTAGGTTCTTATAATTACAAATATTTTGAAAATATTTTTATAGTTTAAAAATTGTATAATTAAAATTTTCACCTATTAACATCATCAGTTTATGTTGACATGGGATGAAAATAGATTAAGTTAGACTAAACTTTGAATATATAAATAAGATATATTCTATAAAATTAAAAATTTAAGTCTAACCTATTATCTATTATAAATTCTTTTTATAGCTCTGATTTAGTATTTTTAAAGTTTGACATGATCTATTAATATATTTAAAAGCCTATTTTGCATAATAGTATTAAATAAACTAATAAATTTAATTTTAAATACGTTAACAATTATATCTTTAAATATATGTGTAGAATTTTTTTTAAAATTTTTGTGATAAAAAGTAATTTTCTCTATTATTATTATTATTATTAAAATTTATAATTTAAAATAAGAAATAAAAAAATAATTGAGGTGCAATTCATGCATATCCACGTAACACTCACAGATAGGCTATAATAAAGAAAATAATTTTATTAATTTTTTTTAAAATATTTCATATATCACATTTGAAGTATTCTAAATAATCAACTATGAATATGCATGAAAAAAGTAGGCAAAGATGTATCCTATTAGAGTTTTTATTTTTAATATCTTGATTTTCTACGAACAAAGAATGCAAAACGTTTAAATGTAATAGAAATATAAAAAATATTGATAATTTGGATTTTTTTTTATTATAATTATTTATTTATTTAATTATATTGTTAATAATGTTATATATATATATATATATATATATACATACACATATATGTAGACTAAATTGTACTTTTAGTTCTTTTATTTTTATCAATTCGTAACTTTGGTCCTTCTATTTTAAAATATGAGCATTTAGTCTCTCTAATTTTAAAAATATAAAATTTTGATCCTCCTATTAAATAAACATCTACTAATTATTAAAATTTAATGTTTACTCATACTTAAGTGATGTGATATTTAGTAATATAATATTTAAAAATATTTTTTAAAAAAATATGAAAATAAGATTTTATTAATAAAATAAATATCAATCACTTGTAAAAATAAATACAAATAGAGATCATTTGTTTGTAATTTTTTTTTTTCATTTTTATGCTCATATGTCACATTAATAAATGTCATGTTACTTAAGTGCTGACAGATCAACAATTCGTTAAAATTTAATAATCAACAAATATCAAATTGATAGTAAGACCAAAATTCTGTATTTTTTTTAAATAGGAGGACCAAATGCTTATGTTTTAAAATAGAGACCAAAATTATAGATCAACAAAAATAAAGGAATTAAAAGTGTAATTTAGCCACATATATATAATATTATTTTTTATTATATCATAAATAAATAGACTAATCTACCCGGCCTAATAGACCTTTTTTACAAGCCTATGTCTAACTTTTTTAAATAAATATACTTTTTAAAAAACTTATGTTGACCTTTTTATTAAATATGTTAGATTATATCAAACTTTAAATAGGTTAGACCATAATTCTGTAAAATTAGACATATTTTCATTCCTAATAAATAGTTTAGTTACTAAAATTTATGATTCATTTCATCACATTCAGATCTAAGCTATATATTGATTTTTAAACTCTTTTTTAATTCATCTATATTCATAAAAACTATGAAAAAAAATGAAAAATAAAAATTTTAAGCCGTATAATTTTTTATTTGTTCAATACACAAAATAAATGTCTATTTTATTCAATTAATTTTTAAATAAATAAATTTTTTTTAAATATACTAAGACTTAAGTATTTTATTCAAAAACAATCTCATTTAAGATGATTATACTAATTTATATATAGAGGATGTAATATTAAAAATTATTAATATTATAGTTTATGCAATGCACATGATAAATGTTTATTTTATGTAGTTATGACTTAGAATAAATAAATTTAAATTTTGATTTGTACAATACACAAATAAATGTCTATTTTATACAATAATTTTTTAAATAAATAAATATTTTTAAATATACTAAGATTTAAGTATATGTATATAGTTATTCAAAAACAATCTCATTTAAGATAATTATACTAATTTATATATAGAGAAGATGTAATATTAAAAATTATTAGTATTCTAGTCTATGCAATGCACATGATAAATGTTTATTTTATGTAGTTATGATTTATAATAAATAATTATCTATGAATATTTAAATTATGCAATAATTAAAATTTGTAATAAAAAATATTTGTAAATATATAAATTATATTGTAGAGTTAGAATAAGCAATTTATATTATAATAAAAATTATTTTTAATTACATTAAATAAATATTGCCTCTCCCACCAACATGTAAACTACATAAGTTAGCTTTTTGTCCTTCGGACATGCCATTACCTTAAATATTTTTTTCCATCTCACTAATCCATCGGTCACTTATCTCTGGATTAGCCAAACCCTTGAATCGAGGAGGATTATCTTTCCTAAACTCAACCAAGCCTTTTATACACTCCTAAGATACAACTAGTCTAGTTGCCTCCGTTATAGTCTTGTTAGCTTCCATCTAAGCTAAATTAACATTCTGTTGATGCGTAGTTGTAACCATCATCTTTATGG